GGAAGCTGGATCCATGACTGCTGCTAGCAACAAAGGCCAAAATGAGCCCATCTGGTTATAGAATTAAAAAAGAATTCCATCAGGAGTCAAAGCCGCATTTCTTCAAATGCTACCAAAGCCAAGCCATGATCAAAACCTCACCGCTCCCATTTACGCCATGGCCCGCTCCTAGCCGCCCATGCAGGCGCCCCAGAAAGCACAGGCTCACCTCACTTGAAATCGGGCGCCAACTTGGCTTGCTTTTTGCATGCGCCCAAGAGGAAACTCGTAAACTCAGCCCAAAAGGTGAAGCCCGATGGACATATCCTCCAGTGGTGATATGTTTGTATACCCCAATTTTCACTTGGAGGAAATCGTGGTTTAGTGGCTCTCTCTTGGATATGATTTTTCACTGGGACCTTTTAGTGGACATTATTCACATGGGGATTTTATGTCCGACCAATTTGAAGGGGTGGTATTCCGGGGTTCAATCCTTGGGGAGAACCCGTGGTCTCTGACTTGGAGGGGTGTTGAATGGTCGAAAATCTAGCATTCCTGCTTGAGGTTGGTTTAGGGGTTGGGGGTTGGTTTAGAGTATGTTCAGCCAGGGTAGATATGTAGGGTGGGCTTTGGGTCAGATACGTTGGGGTTCGTGCATCAAGAGTGCCTTTAGGATCTGTTCAGGATAGATTTAGGGTGGGCGTAGTGATGATTTCAGGCCCTTTCTTCCTGCCTCACTGCCTGCGTCCGTCCTTGCTCTCACTGGAAGGCTTAGGTTTGGTTGAGCTTGAGGCCTGAAAGCTCCAACTTCCAGCAATGCGCTTGCGGGCGCAAATCCAGGCCCCAGCTGCTGTCGAAATGCATTGAGGTAGGCCATTCGCAGGAGGTCATCCTGCCAAGAAGCTGGTTAGGACCAACCATTTGGAGGTGTCAAGCATCAGATCTCGGTGAACTGGCATATCTCACCGATCAAAACTACGGGATCTCTGCAAAAGGAACTTTTAATCGCGAGGTGGCAAACCGCCTTCGAGAGGTAGCTATTTGTCCAGATCCCAGCCCTGCAGCCTTGTGCTGGCACACGTCTTTTGGACCCAGCTTCCAATGGATCTTGGCGATAGCCTGAGAGTCACCCGCAGGTAGGCCATGGTCCGCAGCTCTCTCAAAACTCCAGTGGAAGTACATGCCCCTTGTACACACCCCGTTGAAAAATGAACCCAGGCCTGCTGATGTTCATACCGTACACCCCTTATAAAGTGGGTTGGAAACCAGGGAAGCCAAGGGGTATGAACAAGGGGTATGTTCTTCCAGCCTTAGAAAAGTCAAATCATAAAGGGCGACCGGCTGTCTGCCTATTAAAGGCTAAACACGGGGCGTTCGCCATGCTGATACATACAGGCTGAGGCCGGAGCTAGCCGCAGCCCGGCGTACAAAGCACCAATCCTAGGCTGGTCTGCTGCTGTCTGAAGTGGTGAATCGTGCACAGAAGTGAGCAGCGCTTTGCAAGGGTGTGTTCATGCTCGCAAGGACAGGTAGTAGGAAAACAAAAAGAAAAAAGAAAAAAAAAAAAGAGCCGTCAAATGAGGGTCCTGCGCGCGGCAAAAGTAAACCATGACAAGCACGACTCGAACACGAGGCTCAACACGCAAGGTGGGACACTCGCCGTGCCACATGGTTGGAAACTTCAGTGATGCGATCTCAACACAGGACCCACCTTGAACAAGCGCATTCCGGTACGGCTCGTAGAAAATTTAATATGTTCCTTCCTATTTCACCAAAGCCCCATGCATTGCATGGACGTTTAGTTTACCGGTTTTAAGCTCAATTTGTGCGACCCATCTTGCCCAAAACCCCCCACTCCAAACTCCAGCGCCAGAGTTCACACAAGGAGCCAACCGAGCGCCCAAACGTGTTTCTGTTGCAAGCAAGGCTGTGGTGCAGGCCTCAAAACTGGGAAAATATAAACTGCTTCTTGTCCCCCCTGATTTCCGGTGCCCATCTCCCGTGTCGAACACATTCTGTCACTCATCATGAATCACCCTTTGAGTTGTGACACACTTGTCCTTTCAGCCCCAAACCGCTGCCTGATCCGGGCCAACTGAGTGCTAGAGTCACATGTCATGCCGACGCATCCTGAAAACGTGGGCCCATTTGCCTTGCTCAAGCCCCTGGAAAAGTAAACATATGTTTCCAGTAATTGTAGATCTCCTTCCAAAACCAAGAGGGGAAATACAACATATTCTTAAGCACATGGAACTGGTTCATTCAAAGGTTCCATACATGAGTCAGCATCCAAAATTACTTGTCTGGGGTATGTTCATTCCGACATTAGGACGCCCCGCATCGTTTTCCTGGCTTTTCTCCCAGTCCCGTATCGTATTTCGAGAAAAAAACACTTGTGCGTGAAACACTCCTACATAAAGACGGTAATGTTGAAGCCGACTTATATGCAAATGGAAGTGGGTTCCATACGGCCATGGGTCAAAAGCCAAATCGTACCCCCAGTGAACATCCCAATCCCCGCTAAAATGATGGGTGGTGCACCTATCCCAAAATGGTACCATGTGTTGAACCACGGCCATATGGAAATGGAAGTGGTTCCAAATCCCAGCCCCACCCATTGACCCAAACATTTCCTCCGAGCGGCGTGGCCTGCAGCGCTATCAGCGCCACTAGCGCCTGCAGCTCACCACAGCTCCAGAGCATAGGGCCTCGGACAGACGGGCTTGGGCTTTGCCGGAGTGGGCAGCTCGTCTTTTGAGGCCCTTTTCGGATTGGTTTAAAGGGACACTCAAGGGAAATCTGTAACTTGTCACCCAGGAGAGTCTGCCTTCCCACTTGTTTCAGTTTCAGGTCCCTGTTGGGGCATCCCTATTGTTCAACCAACCAACAAAGGGAAATGCCGAGTCCAACAGCTGCACTTGAAGTTCTTGCGATGGGAACTGTTTGTCTGTGGGATGCAACCCATTTTTGAGGGGTCATGCCTGTTTGGGGTGGGCATCCCTGCTATGATGCGCCTGGCTCATTGACGGACAAAGAATAGCTGTCAGATGCATGATCAAACAACGGCACCTACCATTCTTGTAGTGTCTTGTGTCGTTTGAGTTTGTTGTCAGTAATGTCTGTGCGATAATTGCTACATACATCGGAAATAGTTCTATCATTACATGAGCAATGAAGTAACTTAGCTTGTTAACAGCGTTTCTCTTGGTATCTCTGGGTACCGTTGTAGGCGACGCGGCGACGGCAGCGAGATTGATCACGGGGATGGGGGATGACTTGGGGGCTGGGGGTGGTCTTGGGAAGGTCGGGTAGTGCTTGCAGTGGTTCTGCTGTAGGCTCCATGAGGTGGTGGCAGTGCGATTGGAATGATGGCGGCGAGGAAGCTACCGTTTCCATAACGGAGGTTCATGATTCTTGGCCATCGTTTTTGCCAATGGCTTCCCAGGAAAGTGTCGCAAGAACCCCGACTCTGTCATGAGCCCATTCAAGCCGGATCCCCAATGCTATTCTTCAAAAGGTGGATTGAACGACATCAACCTCCCCTTGTCTAAACAAATAACAAATAAATATGAAACAAACAAACACAATAACAAAACAATAAAACAACATAAAAACGATACAAATAAATAAACATAATTAAATAAATAAATAAATAAATAAATAAATAAATAAATACCCTCCCTCCCACTAACATGGCACCTCACAGAAAATTCCTTTAAAAGGAAACTGATCTTCCAAGTACAGGTACCATGTTCGTTGGAGGAAGGGTAAATAAATCAGAATCGCCAAAAACAGCTCACTTTGATGGCCCCACTTCTCCTCAATTCAATCCCTTGAGCCGCAAAGCACGCCAAGCTCCTGGCTGTGGCTGCGGTAGTCAGCGCTTGCCAAGAGATACAGGAAAGGAAACCTGAGGCAAATTTCAAAGGCTCAGCCTGCGAAAACACGCAACCACTTCAAGGTGCATACTCCCACGAAAACATTCTAAGGGTACCCCGACAAACGGCCACAAGACTGCAATGTCTGATACTTCCAAACAGTGCAACGTAAGAACACTGGCCATTAATCATAGCACCAGGAACTAATCACACACTTGAACAGCCACACAAATTGCTAGAAGCTGAGACATTGAGGATGCTTGGAGTCACCTGCAATGCGATGCATGCGCCAGCGGCCAGCATGCATGCTGACTTCACAGCGATGTCCTGCCATGCTTTCCAAGCAGCAGGTACACACCATAAGCCACGGCAAAAACGCCGAATGGCGTGTCTTGAATCGACATGGCGCAAGCGCTTTGCAATCCAGCAAAGGTTCGCTGCAGCTTCTCTGCCGGTGTGTGTGTGTGTGTGACACGTCCGTTGCCTGCGACCTATCAACACTTTGCGGGAAAGGCATATGGTATCTTAGAATCATCTCAAAGAAGAGACACTGTCAGATCGGCAAATTTTATAGTTGATAAGTTGCGATTGCTCCATCATGCCAATCGTGCTCCTTCCTATTCCGCTGGGTTGCAACTTTTCCATTCCTGCTCCAGCCAGTGATGTCGCATCAGGGCTGGCCCATGGCTTCATGATTGAAGGGCAGCCTCTCAGACCTCAGGCCCTGTTTCGGTGCCCGTTTTGGTTTGTGGCCCAGTACCCCCTAAGGGGCCCTTGACCACAGGTGCCGTCCTTAAGTTTGAGATATCCCCATTTCAAGCTGCAATACTTGCTACAATCTGCCAATGTAAAATGAAGGACCCACTCAGCTTGGCCGCCCAATTTCGGTCTCCCAAGTTGCTTGGGTCATTTCACCCCAAATGCGCCAGGAACCTGAACCTCAGGTTCGAAAAGTAGCTGGTGCAAGGGCACCATTGAGTTCAATTGTCTCCTTGATTCACTTTCATCCAACTGTAAAGGGCCATCCGGGAAATTTAGGGCGCCATTCAAGAAACCACCAACCATTTCACCCAGGTCACCAATTTACCCAAAATGACCCCCCCTCCTCCCGCACATTCCCCAGGTTTTGAGGGACCCATCCGCCTGCATGCCCGAGGCCTGCAGCAGCTCAGCAAACCTGGCGAGCAAAAGGAGGCCGAAGGTTCAATCATGTACATGTGTATGTGTATAGCGCCTACAAATGGGTTTGTGCGTGTATATATATATATACACATGTATGTAAAACATGTATATTATATATATATATACTTATATATATATATATATATTGTATATGTATGTATATACATATACATTATGCATGTATATTTAGGTTTGAGGAATGCCAATGCTAACTTCCAAGCGCCTCACAGGCTCTTGCTTCTCAAATCTAAATGCCCTCGCAAAATGCTTCATTTAGCCACCTGTGTTTTCTTGGGCTTGGAGGGATTAGCCGACGGCTCCGCCAGGGCTGGTTTATCCGTGTCCGGATGTGTCCGCCAGTGCGAGCCACAAGCAAAGCCACTGATGAAGTTCACAAAGGTCCAGAATCGAGGCTTCTGGTGCTCCTTGTGTGGCGATGGCATTGCGTTGCATTGAAAGATATGAAATGGCATGGCATGACAGTACATGGTGTGTGTGTGTGAATACATAAACGTATACAGGTGAATGTCTAAATATACTCCGTTCGTCCGTCCGTCCATCCGTCCGGCTGTCTGTCTGTCCGTGTGACTGCTGTCCGTCCCTGTCTGTCTGTCTTTCTCTCTGTCTCTGTCTCTGTCTCTGTCTCTGTCTTGTCTCTGTCTCTGTCTCTGTCTTGTCTCTGTCTCTGTCTCTGTCTCTGTCCTGTCTCTGTCTTTGTTTGTCTTTCTGTCTGTCTGCATGCCTGCCTGTCTGTCTGTGTGTCTGTGTGTCTGTGTCTCTGTGTGTCTGTGTGTCTGCGTGTCTGTGTGTGTGTGTGTCTGTGTGTCCGTGTGTCTGTGTGTGTCTGTGTGTGTCTGTGTGTGTGTCTGCGTGTCTGTCTGTGTGTGTGTCTGCGTGTCTGTCTGTGTGTCTGCCTGCCTGCCAGTCTGCCTGTCTCTCTGTCTCTGTCTCTGTCTCTGTGTCTCTCTCTCCCTCTCTCGCTCTCTGTGTGTGTCTCTCTCTCTCTCTCTCTCTCCCCGCCTCTGCCTCTGCCTCTGTTTTTCCTCGGTCTCTGTCTGTGCGTACATGTATACATTTATTTGCATATGTATACATTCTGTATACTTGTATGTATACGCATACATATGCATTTGTATGCATGAACGGGGCTCCATTCTTTCAGAACACGAAACCCAAAAACTATCATCGTTAGAGGAACCTTTCCGGGCACCCTTGTTTTGGGGGCTCCGTGTTGTGCAGGGGTGCACAACTCTAGGCCTTGCAGGTGGCTCGCTTTGACAGCCATTGAAGCTTCTGCCCAGCCTTCGCACTGACTTCATGGAGGCCAAATCCAGCGGCCTTGGCACCGCTGAGTGAACCAAACCTCTGCATCCTTGGGGGGGTCGAGCACTTTGAGAATCCCCCGCTCTTGTGACGATCACGACCCAGCATTCCGAATCCTGCAAATCAGAAGGTGCCGTCAGGCGTCCTGCGATCGCATGAAGGAGGAAGGAAGGGCTGCCATCTTGCAGACTTGCTTGAGATTGCTTCATGCTTGGACCTTTCATGGTCCAAACCCTGCGGTCTTGATTTTTGCACTTGGCGGCTCATCCTGGAAGACAGCTTCGTCCTTGCCAGGCAGAGATGAGAACAGCGACAAGAGCAAGTGACCTGCCTCCGCGTGTGTTGAAGCATCACTGGATGGAGTCCATCTCAAATGTTCTTTGGATTCAACATGGGGGCGCACAGTATTTGTCTGGTCCCAATGGCCTCTATCCTACCTCAGAGCCTGTTCCATGATGCCTTCTCCATGCCTAAAGCTTTCGTTCAAACCCACCCAAATTATGTTCTCGGCCGTGGTATTGTCGCAGATTTGGATAACTACAGCATCCGCAGCACCGTTTTTGCATGTTGTTCTGTTGAAAGGGAAAATGATGGAAAACCAAAAAGGCAGAAAGTTAGAACGGCAGCTAAACCTGGGGATGTGATATTGACATGCAAACTTCGAAGGAAACCACTGGTGGCTTCTTCGGGTCGATTTCTGACAGCCCCCCCCCCTCCTCCAGGCCGCGCTTGTACGCGGCATCGCTGCCGCAGCTCAACGACGACAGGCGCTCTCGGCCTGGCGTTTCATGCGAGCCCCGAGCCGAGGGATACCTTGGCTTGGTTTCCAGGGAAGCCAAACCGAAACCCCCACATTGTTGCGATACCTAGGAAAGTTTCCCCAGGCGGACATGGCAAAATTGGGCTGTTCTAGGCCAGAATTACCTGGCTCCCCAAGAGGACATAGTTAGTCGTCTAGTTTTGGTGGGGTATTGGTCCCGCTTCAGTTTTCTGAGCGCGCCGCGTTTCCACGCCACACCCCACAATGGGTTCCATTCACAGACTTGGAAGCCTGGCGGGTTCCCCAGACGGGAAATTCCCGGGTATCTGCGTCTACTTTGGAGGAGTAAACATGGAATGCCACATAACCCAGTTGTAAGTCCAGACAGGGAACCAGCCCATGGAACCATCGGAACTCGCGCTATTGCAGTCCTGGCATATGCTCGCAGCGCGGTAGCCATCCCACTTTCGGCTGGGGGGATACATCGGCGGCCTAAACGGCCGCCGGAGTGGACCCCCTAGTTTAGGGTTTAGGGTTTAGGAGACAACTCGACTGATAGGTTGGAGCTGGTGGAAGTGTCTCGTCAATCCGCCAATTGGCTCTGTCTGAAATATGGCTCCCCCCAGGCTTCTCTTGAACCCCCACTCCCTTCATGGCCTCAAAGGTGATGAGGCAAAACCACCCAAAGAAGGAACGAAGTTGGAGTGCTGACCTATCCGCTTCAGGTAGGCGGTAACCCCGCCTTGAGCCAAACCTTCCTGGAGCTCCGACCTAGCGGAAAGATGTGAAAGCTGGTGGGGTCCCATCTTGTGGTACGGAAGGGGTTTGGAGAAAAACCGACCTTGGTTTGGGGGGGGTCCCCGGAAAACCTGGCAAACTTCTCGGCCTGAGCTTGTTCAACAAGGAGCTTGGAAGGTGTCTGAAAAGGGATCAGTTGGCTTGCGACTTGACCTCTCTTCCACGGCGTCAAAGAGGCGGGAAGCTTGAGATGCGGGGGAGGTGCCTTTTTGGTTCCCTTGAAAGGCAACCTGAGGGAAACTGAAGCCTGGAGCAACTGCCCACTCCGCCAGGCGACTGCAACACGCCGGTCTTCAGGAGCATGTCTTTGTGCCATGCTTCCAAGCCTGCAGATGTCGTCACGGAAACGAACAACCAAACGACTGAGAGCTCAGACAGAAGAGTTGGGCCTCTGAGTTTTGGCAAAATCAAAACTCCCCTTCAGACAGACGGAGGTGTTCTTTGATTAAGTTCGGTTAATTACTCCTCCCTCTCTGGAAGAACATTCACACTCTCCAAACAATTCCCCTGTACCAGGCCAGAAATACCCGGCACGCTTGGTTTCCCCCAGCCCGCTAGGTCCGCTAGGTATGCAGGGATAGGGGAACTTATCAAAAGAGTGAGGGGAAAGGTGACGTTGAACGCACGTCTCTCTGGACGTTGGTTAGTGCACAAGGCCTCTCACAAATTGCATTCCTCTTTGAATGGCACATACTGAACTTGCCGCAAGCGTGGGCGGGGATTGCCTCTGAGGAATGAAATGTTGCTGTCATGAGCAGCGCCCAAGATCCGAGCTGACTGTTGGCTCTTCCAACTTGCTTTGTTTTAGGTTTTTGTAGGCCGAACTCAAATCCCCATCAAAACAGGTTGTACCACATCTCCCAAAATGGCCAATCATAAAAAAACGGGTCGGGCGAAGTTCACGAGCAAGCAGGAGCAGGTGTCAAGTCCAAAGTGAAGTCCAAACTGAACAACGAGGGCGCTAGATGCCTCCGCCCACAAGTGCTTTTCGAGATTACACGCAAAAAGACAACGATACAAACATAAAGCAGCTCTTCCATGGTCACAGGGGGGAAACAAGTGATCAACAATGCCTGCTTCTGAGTTGGGGTATACACTCCAACTCGCACCCTTTGCTGGAGCGTCGAACGCCTCGGCACAACCTCAACATCACAAGTCGGCACATGTAACATGTAAGGTTCCAGTCGCATTCCTTTGATTCTATTTCATTGAGAGCAATCCAGACTGGGGGTGGACACAGAAACCGATCACCTTCATCCCATTGCCGGCAGGACCCTGCCCAAATCCTACAATGAAAGCCGAAAGGATGTTCGTGTGCGCAGGGGATGTCATGCCTGCAATTGTTCAATGCTCTCCAGCATGCTGCACAAGCATGAGTTTGCAAGAATGGTCTCATTTGCGACAGTTGGAGCAATCCCACTCTTTTGGAAAATAGAGATGGACCGTTCACAATTCTAGAAATGTTCAAAATGAGGGGGATCCCTAATCCGCCATTGCCACAAGCGAAACCACTACCGTCTGGCAGGATCTTGTTGATTGAAATTATGACCAACCCAGTCAAATACGGTGTTGTCCCAAAACAAGGAATGAGGATCGTCCCTTTGGTTTCCCTTTAAAGCACTCTCAAGCGAGAACCTGGTGCCTGTCCCAAGCCCTTGACCAACATGGCTGCGATGTTTGTAACAGCGGCCCTTGGGTGGACATCGGACCTCCGCGGGGATTCAGGTCCACCACTTGAGTTCGGTTCCAACTCTTGAGACTCAGAACCGCATGCGGACCGAAAGCCAAAGCCAGCGCAGGGCCGCGCCTGCTTGCAGCGGCTTGCTGTGCTGGTCCATGAGCTCCTTGGTCTTCTCCAACCTCTCCTGGAGTCCTATCGGGGCCCAATCGGGATCGATTGACCCAGACCCTCCGAGTCGATGGGACACCAAGGGAGACCGCCATCAGGGCTCGGTTGATCCGGAACCCAGAGTTGGCAAGAATGAAACCAACGAATCAAACTCATTTGGGTTTGGCTCAAAATGATGGGACTCTTGAAAAAGGGCGGTGGTTTCCTTTTGGCGTCCCTTTAAAATGAAGCAAAAGGGGGTTCCCAAGAAAAAGACACACCCATTTAGGAATGTGGCCCTGCAAAGGCGCCCTGTGATTCCTCGGATTCCCCCCTCTCCCGTTCGTGTTGGCTTCAAAACTCCCAACTCGCTTCCCTTGTCCCTTTTGTTTGGTGGAAACCCCCACTGAAACTGGTCAACCCCAAAAACCCACGCCCAGCAACCCACAAACCCCAGCAAAAACACAACAACTCCGAACATCAAGCCACACGCCCCAGCAGCCAAATTCAAAGCATCGATCTCTCGCCTTCTTGCAGCGGCTTGCTGTGCTGCTCCATGAGCTCTTTGGTCTTCTCCAAGTGCTCCTGGCCTATGGACAGCAGGCCTCGCCGTGTGTCAGCTCCCGTCCCCTAGAAGAGCAATACTCTAGGGGTTGATTCCTTTTCCATTCTTTTCAACCATCGTTCTTTTCCAATGGAAAGAATGGGGAAGATACCCCTAGCAATACTGCGGATGGACGAGATCCTGCACCGCTGTGAAACCCGGGTTTCTTAGGTGGTGCAGGGTTTCGTCCATGCTAGGTATGCCCATGGAAGTGGGTTACCAGGCGACCAAGGGATATGAACAGCCAGTGAAAACAGAAAGAATTGAAGAGGCCTGTTTCCTTTGGGGGCGGGGTGGTTTGCTGGTTTGGAGGGGAGACCCAGCGAGGGTGGCAGCCAGTTAGCCTAAACTCCCTACGCCTAACAAGGGGATAAATGATTGCAAAGTCGGTCGGGAACCAGGTTGCGAAGGGCATGGAGAGGGGGCATTCTTAGAATTTGGCTAGGAGTACTACTTTAGTCTTCGGGATCTTTTCTAATTGATTTCTAATTGAAAAAGTGCTTTCCCGAAGACTAAAGTAGTCTTGTGCCAACGTTGGCACAGTACTACTTTAGTCTGTGGGAAGTGGGATCTTTTCTATTTCATTTCCAATTGAAAAAGTGCTTTCCCGAAGGCTAAAGTAGTCTTGTGCCAACGTTGGCACAGTACTACTTTAGTCTGCGGGATCCTTTCTATTTGATTTCTCTTTTTGCAGGGCTGGTTTAGACAAAAGCCAAAGGGACAGACACCCCACCCATTCGTTTGGGGGTGTCCCTTTGGGGAGACGAACTGAGCTTCAAGATCTTGAGGAATGCAAGGTCTGGTTGTGCAGGCCATCGGACTACCAGACTCCTTTTGGATTCCCTTAGAACCATCCAACATTAGGTACCCCATTTGGAAACGAACCCATGTGTGGCATAAAGTTGACGCTCTAGTAGAAGTGCCTGCCTCTACTTCGTTTCTGACCTAAGCAGAAAAGGCAGTGGACCTGGAAATCGTTGTGAATCAGGGACCCTTTGATGGACATCATGTACATAGAGATCCAA